AAACAAAACTGCCGCATTTGGAGTGAAGCTAATCCTCAAGTCTATGTCGAAACACCGTTACATTCAGAAAAACTGACTGTTTGGTGCGTTTTATGGGCTGGTGGAATCATTGGTCCGTACTTCTTCAAAAACGATGATGACCAGAACGTTACAGTCAATGGTGATCAGTATAGAGCCATGATTACTAACTTTTTTATTCCTGAATTGAACAATCATGGTGTCCAGGATCTGTGGTTCCAACAAGACGGCGCAACATGTCACACAGCTCATGCTACAATCGAGACACGTTTGGTGACCGCCTAATTTCACGTTTTAGACCTGAGAATTGGCCTCCAAGATCTTGTGATTTAACACCGCTAGACTATTTTCTGTGGGGCTATGTACAGTCATTGGTCTATGCGGATAAGCCACAAACGCTTGACCATTTGGAAGACAGCTTTCGCGATGTTATTGCCGATATACGGCCACAAATGTTGGAAAAAGTCATAGTCATCCAGATTGGACTACATCCGAGCCAGCCGTGGCAGTCATATGCCAGAAACCATATTTAAAATGTAATGCCTCAAGATTATCTTTCGAATAAAAAAAATTCATGTCAATCGAATAATCCGTCGTTATTTTACTGCAATGTAATGTTCTATACCTCTAAAAAAGACACCATTTACAAGTGGTCAGTGACTACTCCATCCCTTTTCGTTATTGTTCCACTGGTAATAACTAACCTTTCTACAACATTTCCCTCTCACAATCCGATCAAGCTCGATAAACAGGTACTGAGAATATGTGAAAATAAAGCCTATACCGGTTTTGGTGAATAGTATATTACGTACCTTGGTGGAGAAGTATGCTATTGTTTATATTTGACACTATCAAAGTCAACGCAAAGTTTGCACGGCAAAACGGTGCGCAGGATGTTCTTCGACTTCGTGCAGCACAGCTTCCTGAATTTCAGGTGTTCTCACACTTAGAGGTCTACCTTCAGATGTTCCTTTTCGGATAGAACCAGTTTCAATAAGACGAGGATGAATATTAGAAAAGGTTCCACTAACTGGCACGATCGGGATATCTCTGGTCTGGTCTGGCTTGCTCACTATTACCGTCGGCAAGGCCATATACGTAATGCATTTCCGCCATTGGAATAAGTCACCATTATTAACAAGACTGTAAAAACTAAATGATGAAAAAGATGTCACAGCGAACTGATTTGAATAACAGAGACTTGTCAGCTGTCAAAAGCCAGTGACCTACTCAAGAGCAACTAGATATTTATTGCTAAATTGCATTCTTCAATTATTACATTATGTTTCTCGGACAATACTCATTACTCAAAAATGGCACATCGAAGGAAAACAATTCAAGAGAGAGGTCTCTTAAAATGGCGTTAATGAAAAATGATTAGTTCATTTAGTTATACAGGGATGGACTAGCGCTAACGCAAAGACGATATTTTTGGAAAACCCGATCCTCAATTGGTAAAATGTATTCTCGATAAAATGATCCTTTTTCCATGAAAATAGATAACACTTAGTGCTGTCTTACTTCGATAGACCTGATATCTTGGAGGTCAAGCCTACACTAGGTGAGTTGTCATATTTGACCCGAAACAGCGGTCCATAGTTTGTCTTCTTTGATAGGCCGAACAAAAAGCGATATTATTATATATACTACCTATAAGTAGGTACTTAATGAAGCATAATAAATAAATGATAAAAATTTCAAAATGATTGCACTGCTTTAAAGCCCTTTGACCTTTAATAATGTGTGGATGCACCCTGATGTGCTACGCATTCTCCAACGCGCCTAGGCATGCTTCTGATCAGGTGGTCAATGTCCTCCTGTGGTATCTCATTCCAGGCAACCACCAACTCCTCTCGAAGTGCTTCTAGAGTCTGAGAAGGACGTTGCAAATTGAGCAATCTCCTACCCATCATATCACACGTGCTCAATTGGGGATAAGTCGGGAGATCTTGGTGGCCATGGTAACAATGTGACATCACTATGTTGAAAGAAGTCTATTGTGACTCTTGTAACATGTGGTCGGGCATTATCTTGTTAGAAAGTTGGATCTGCCAGGGTGTCAAGGGAGGACCCAGTGTGGCCGGTATGAAAACAAGCCAAAACTTCTCATTCGTCGGTAAACACTTCGCATGCCAATAGGTCTTCCGTGTTCTGCAAACCATTCATTTGCAATGGACCTGGTAGTGGATAAACGGTCCCTTAAGGCCAATAATCTTAGGCGGCGATCTTCACGGTCTGTTGTTCTACGGCGGCGTCCAGTGCCCCTTGCTCTTTGCGTACGGCCTTCTCGAAGCCATGCCTGACAACACCTAACCACAGTTTCTACACTTCTTTGCACTCTAACTGCAATTGCCCGAAAAGAAAGTCCAGCTTCCCGAAGTCCCACTATACGGCCCCTATCAAACTCACTAAGTTGACGAAATCGTACAGGTCTCCGTACTCTAGGCATCGTAACCGATCGTAAAGGATGTCAAGAACCAAAATCCGCCAACGTTGATTCTTTGCTGCGGCTGAAATATTCATTTTAGAGCGTTAGTGAATTAAAAAAAGCAGTATAAAAACCGGAATGTCCAACTGATAAGGCTGACAATTTTTTCACTTGTTATTTACAGTAAGATAAATACATTCACCAACTTTTATTAAAATAAAACCATTTAAACCGGGTGTTCGGATTTATATGTCACTTAGTATATTTTAAATTGAACGGGGAATTCAAAAATAATTTTTACTCGGTAAAAAACCATTGACGTACCAATTTTTTCTTAAAAAACATCGCAGTCAATACCCGTACGCACGCTACTGTTAAAATTATTTATGCATTGAAAAATATGCAACATTATTAACTTTCACTACGTACTAAATATCAGTGAAATATCAGAAGCGGTTCTGAAAATATTAATTAATTTCCATTTTTTTCCTAAAACTCCAACGCCCCGAGTTTTTGTAAGGAAACATTTTTGGACGATAGTTATATTCGCATATCATTAAGGAACACCCTGTATATTGTACTATTCTAGAATAAATGCTCTGGGATTGTCAAATAATGCCTTGAAAACTATCCAAATGAGCGGCGCTCAAACAATTTTCCGAACTGTCGACATCATTTTCAATGGCGACCGGGTAAAAATTGGGTCATTTCGTTCCCGCAAACGAATTTTTCCTGCAAGTCTTACGCCTGCCCGTCCGCCCGTATTTTATCCATGTCTAACTTTTTAATTTGTATCAAAGTTAAATAATTTCCACTTGAAATTTACGTTTGGCCCTTTCCAGCGGCGTACTGAGCACGGTTCACCGATCACCTAATCTAAGATAAACTTCAAAGCAGGAACAAAAATCACAATTGGCAGTGGAATAAAAAATCAACGACAGCCCCACTGGGATGTTTGCCCGTGTAAACAAATATTAGGCAATCGCAGAAAATTTAGGCTCTCGTAGTTTTATAACCCAGTTTTTGATATATAAACAGCAAGAAATTTATAAATACAAATCGGAAGAGACTTAACTTGTGTAGAGGTACATCGGTGCAATATCCAAATTTTTGGAAAAAGCAGCGATGTGTACTGCATTTATTATTGCTTTTATTTGAATAAGTCTTATCTGCGCCTTGTACGGAGGGAGGAGGTCATGAGGAGAAAAGCAGGTTTTTAGCTCTAGTCAAATAGCCTAGCTTTTCCCGTCAGCTGACGCTATTGTCGAGATGTGTTCGTGTGCCAGATCAAGTCCTCGGTGATCTGGACTCCGACCAACGGCCATCCATCGAAACCGGATGAGCGCTAGTACGCTTCTTGTTAGTAATCACCTCCAGGTCTTTCGTCAGAGAGGAAGTCATTGCTAGTCTTCTTTTTCCCAGCTCACTGGCAGAGATCCGTTTGTCGCTTTGAATTCCTGCATGTAGAGTGCTGTCATCAGCGAAGCTCTGGATCGGATTGATCGTACAGGAAAGGAGGTCGTTGACACGTAAGAGGAACAATTTGGGAACGAACACCGATCCCTGAGGAATTGCCATTGTGGGATCAAGAGGAAATTAGTCACCCATCTGCAACGCTTCTCTGGAAGGCTATATGATGGAAGTTTGCATAAGAGGGCAGCATGTCACAGCTTGTTTACATCTTAAAAAAATCAGCTACGGAAGTATGATCGACTAAGAGGTGCTACTGATACTTGATTGCGACTTTGCAATTGAATTTTACTTTTCTATACCTCTGCTCAAGTTTTCTTGACCGTTGACATTTTGTGACTGCAATGCGTCACATCTACTTACCAACCGACCATCTGTAGATCTTTTCAGAGTTATTCACTCCTTACCTGGAACAAGAAGCATTCATTTAAATAATGTACTTACTAGGGCTAGGGTAGGACTTGTCTGGTCTTGGTCTCAACATATCAGAAGTCTGCTACTTTAGTATTGATCTTGCAAAATTATTCAAGTCTTGACCAAGTGATTTATGGAGAATTTCTCGATTTGACATGAGTTAGGTTTTTTTTGCTAGATTAAGAGGTATTTTGAATAAAAACGACTATATTGTTGCGTTTTTTCTGGGTTATTTTGGGTGTGGCCCATTGATGGTTTTGGCGCAAACGCCGGCCCAAACAGTCACTTTTCGGTCATGCAACGGCATTTCGTGGATCTCAGTTTTGCTTGTTAACGCCGCTAGAGAACGTGAAATGGGCCTCGTCGGTCATCACAATTTGCTTCCAAAAATCAGGTTCCGCATCACCCATGCGAGCGACTGTTTGGGCGTATTCTCAGCGACCTGGACGGTCAGTTGGCAATATTTTTTGTGTTAACTGCACCTTATAAGGAAACTAATGCAAATCATCCTTCAAAATGCGTCGCAACGTGGTTCCACTGATGCCAAAATGCTGAGCGCGGTGACGATACGAAACTTTTGGGTTCTGGGCAACGCTGTCTCTGACCGCGTCAACCAATTCATTCGAACGTCTTGGTTGTTGACGAACGGTATGTTGACGATCGCCCACTGTCCCATACTCAAGAAAATTCAGAACCAAACGACGGATAGTGCTGTCAGGCGGTGCTCGTTTGTCACAATATTTTCCACGATATGCACGTTGCGTTAACACAACTGAACGACGATTTTCAATGTATATTGTGACTATTTCGACGGGTTGTGTCGGTGTAAAGCGATTCATGACTAAAATTGTGGTAAATTGATCTTTCAGAAACACGGAAAACTCGGTTGGTAAATATCAAAGTCATTTGATGTTTCAACACCGACATAAAAGATGACATATAAATCCGAACACCCAGTTTAAATGGTTTTATTTTAATAAAATTTTGTATAAGTACTTAATGAAGCATAATAAGTAAATGATAAAAATTTCAAAATGATTGCACTGCTTTAAAGCCCTTTGACCTTTAATAATGTGTGGATGCACCCTGATGTGCTACGCATTCTCCAACGCGCCTAGGCATGCTTCTGATCAGGTGGTCAATGTCCTCCTGTGGTATCTCATTCCAGGCAACCACCAACTCCTCTCGAAGTGCTTCTGCTTCTAGAGTCTGAGGAGGACGTTGCAAATTGAGCAATCTCCTACCCATCATATCACACACGTGCTCAATTGGAGATAAGTCGGGAGATCTTGGTGGCTATGGTAACAATGTGACATCATTATGTTGAAAGAAGTCTATTGTGACTCTTGCAACATGTGGTCGGGCATTATCTTGTTGGAAAGTTGGATCTGCCAGGGTGCCAAGATAGGGTAAAAGATGGGGTTCTAGAACTTCGTGGATATAACGCTGCGCGTTCATGTTACCTCTGATGAAGATTAAAGGTGACCTGGAACCATAAGCTATAGCACCCCAAACCATAACTCCAACAGTGTGATGAACATGTCTTTCAACAAAAAACTGTGGATTCCTCCTTTCACCACGTCGCCTTCTAACCCTGGCACGACCATCGTGCATGCCTAAACAAAATCGAGACTCGTCACTAAAGACAATACTGTTCCATTCCTGATCCCAGAGTGACCGTTGTCTGCACCACTCAAGGCGATTACGTCGGTGTTCTCGAGTTAAAGGGAGGACCCAGTGTGGCCGGTATGAAAACAAGCCAAAACTTCTCATTCGTCGGTAAACACTTCGCATGCCAATAGGTCTTCCGTGTTCTGCAAACCATTCATTTGCAATGGACCTGGTAGTGGAGAAACGGTCCCTTAAGGCCAATAATCTTAGGCGGCTATCTTCACGGTCTGTTGTTCTACGGCGGCGTCCAGTGCCCCTTGCTCTTTGCGTACGGCCTTCTCGAAGCCATGCCTGACAACACCTAACCACAGTGTCTACACTTCTTTGCACTCTAACTGCAATTGCCCGAAAAGAAAGTCCAGCTTACCGGAGTCCCACTATACGGCCCCTATCAAACTCACTAAGTTGACGAAATCGTACAGGTCTCCGTACTCTAGGCATCGTAACCGATCGTAAAGGATGTCAAGAACCAAAATCCGCCAACGTTGATTCTTTACTGCGGCTGAAAGATTCATTTTTAGAGCGTTAGTGAATTAAAAAAAAGCAGTATAAAAACCGAAATGTCCAACTGATAAGGCTGAACATTTTTTCACTTGTTATTTACAGTAAGATAAGTACATTCACCAACTTTTGTCATTCAGCATATTATGATTCCGATCAAGATTTTAGATCCGCTGGTCAATAGTAAGATCAGACCCGAGTATAGTTCTTTTCGGTAATCGTAAGGATGAAAAAGCTTAAGAACGTAAGCCTCCCCTGAATACGCCGCTGGTTTTTATCAAAGTTTCCTCCGACCGCCGCAGAGTTTCCTTGCCCCGTAACGACGCCGCTAAATCGTTTTAATCCGTTCCGCGTCAGTTTAGCAGTTGGCAACATCTGTGCGACTGTGGCAGCAGTGTGGCTGCTTCATCGCCTCGTCTCGCTCTAGTTCAACTTCCAAGAACTTTAAGCATTGTTGTTTAGCAATTACAGAAACCCAAGAAGGGATTTGCGGCTAACAGACCCTCATCTATACAACCATCGATTCTTCATTTCGAACTGACCTGCATGAGGTCATACAGCGTACGCGTGAACTGCTGAGGTTTTGAAAAAGTAAATCTTCATGAATATCTTAACATAATAATAATAATAAACGTCTTTTTATTTGGGCAAAGTCTAGCTTAAGCTATAACTGCACCTAACCCATCCAAAATAAATATAAACATAAATAAAATAGATAAATGACAAAAGACTCATAATGTATCAAAAGTATTATACGTAAATATTTAATGTAATTACTCTGATAACTGAATAAACAGTATTTTTATTAGCAGAAAGATGAGCATTTTTAATTTTGGCGATGTAAAAGTAGATTCTTGATATATTTTATAAGGTTATCAAACGTCAAAGATTTAATTTCAGGGCGTAATGAATTATACAGGTAGAATATTCCATTACTTTTATTACTATTCCATTTTTAACTTTCATGCTACACTTATGACTGATTTCACTAATTGGAGACGTAAAATTTGCATCTATGGCACAAATTCCACCAACGAGAATGCGTTTTTGAAGTAATGTATCTAATGAGTATGGTTAATTTCTTATAAAATGTCTCTCAAACTACAGAAAAATCATACGATTTGTGTAAGATCATATTAAAACAAGAAATACTTCATATATCACCTGGTTTAGCTGTTTTTTCATTATGCCTGGTCACATTTGTGACAAAGACGCAAACGGGTTTGAATTATAGTCGCAAGAGGAAATGTAAGGAAGTGTTTTCAGGATTTTGGTAAAAATGGACTAACGAGGTTTTTGAAATGACGAATTCAATTTATAGACGAAAGACAATTAATGACTATTCAAAGATGGAGGGAGTGCTTCGTTAAAATGTTCATTTATGGTGAATGGTCCACAAAGCGGAATACAGTTGTTGCCTCGAGCACCCAAACCGATAACATGGTCTATAAGCGAGGTTTTAGACCCCAAAAATACCTTAAACAAATTTTCGAAACTATTAAATTTTTTGATTCAAATATTTCAGAATATATATATACTAAGTGACATATAAATCCGAACACCCAGTTTAAATGGTTTTATTTTAATAAAAGTTGGTGAATGTATTTATTTTACTGTAAATAACAAGTGAAAAAATTTTCAGCCTAATCAGTTGGACATTCCGGTTTTTATACTGCTTTTTTTTAATTCACTAACGCTCTAAAACTGAATATTTCAGCCGCAGTAAAGAATCAACGTTGGCGGATTTTGGTTCTTGACATCCTTTACGATCGGTTACGATGCCTAGAGTACGGAGACCTGTACGATTTCGTCAACTTAGTGAGTTTGATAGGGGCCGTATAGTGGGACTTCGGGAAGCTGGAATTTTTTTTTTGGGCAATTGCAGTTAGAGTGCAAAGAAGTGTAGACACTGTGGTTAGGTGTTGTCAGGCATGGCTTCGAGAAGGCCGTACGCAAAGAGCAAGGGGCACTGGACGCCGCCGTAGAACAACAGACCGTGAAGATCGCTGCCTAAGATTATTGGCCTTAAGGGACCGTTTCTCCACTACCAGGTCCATTGCCAAAGAATGGTTTGCAGAACACGGAAGACCTATTGGTATGCGAAGTGTTTACCGACGAATGAGAAGTTTTGGCTTGTTTTCATACCGGCCACACTGGGTCCTCCCTGTAACTCGAGAACACCGACGTAATCGCCTTGAGTGGTGCAGACAACGGTCACTCTGGGATCAGGTATGGAACAGTATTGTCTTTAGTGACGAGTCTCGATTTTGTTTAGGCATGCACGATGGTCGTGCCAGGGTTAGAAGGCGACGTGGTGAAAGGAGGAATCCACAGTTTTTTGTTGAAAGACATGTTCATCACACTGTTGGAGTTATGGTTTGGGGTGCTATAGCTTATGTTTCCAGGTCACCTTTAATCTTCATCCGCGGTAACATGAACGCGCAGCGTTATATCCACGAAGTTCTAGAACCCCATCTTTTACCCTATCTTGACACCCTGGCAGACCCAACTTTCCAACAAGATAATGCCCGACCACATGTTGCAAGAGTCACATAAGACTTCTTTCAACATAATGATGTCACATTGTTACCATGGCCACCAAGATCTCCCGACTTATCTCCAATTGAGCACGTGTGGGATATGATGGGTAGGAGATTGCTCAATTTGCAACGTCCTCCTCAGACTCTAGAAGCACTTTGCGAGGAGTTGGTGGTTGCCTGGAATGAGATACCACAGGAGGACATTGACCACCTGATCAGAAGCATGCCCAGGCGCGTTGGAGAATGCGTAGCACATCAGGGTACATCCACACATTATTAAAGGTCAAAGGGCTTTAAAGCAGTGCAATCATTTTGAAATTTTTATCATTTACTTATTATGCTTCATTAAGTACTTATACAAAATTTTATTAAAATAAAACCATTTAAATTGGGTGTTCGGATTTATATGTCACTTAGTATATATACGAGTATATATATATATATATATATATATATATGTTACAGCCATAGTTTCCTATTTAATTTTTAGGTGCATCACCCTTACCCTGAAAGAAACTCAGCTACTGAGTAGCTTTTTAGCTAATAACCTACCAGAACTTTTGGAAAAGACCTTAGACAACACGCCATTACAACGGAAACAGAATTTGTGGTTTCTTCATGACAGGGCACCACCACACATTTTTAGAGGCGTCATTCAGTATTTGAATGAACATTATAAAAATCGCTGGATCGGTCGGAATGCGCCTGATCCTCGAAAATGGCTAGCAAGATCTCCTGACCTCAATCCGATCGATTTCTGGTATTGGGGAGAACTTAAAGGGATGGTTTATAAGCCTGGTCCGATAACAACTGAAGCACAACTTCGCGAAAAAAAATTTAATGCGGCTGAAATAATAAATGGACAACTTCGAGGACCTAGAGTAAGAAGTAACTGGGTTCGTCGTAATGAAGCTTGTGTGGAAAGTAGAGGACGACATTTTGAACACCTTTAAATACAAAAAATTTGCAGTGTGGGTTTTAAAAAGAAAAACAAAGTATGTATTAAAATTGTGTACCATATTTATGAGTGGATTTTTTTAAATACGTTCAATAAACTTGCACACACCAGGTGAAGCGCTGAGACAGTTAGTGGTAAGTCCGTTTTTTTAAGTGATTGGATTTTACAAGTACATTATCAAATAATTAAATAATACCTAAGAGCCAAAAATAACAAACTCCATCTTTATTTACACTGCGTTCAGTCGTAATTTGCCTCTGGCATTGC